CAAAAGATACTTCGCGAGCTTCACGTACTTCATCATGATACAATTGAACCTGAATATCTGCTTTCTGAATGCAAGAAGAGAAACAGAAATTTCCAGTATTAGAAACACTCCTACCAGAAAATGAGATAGCCAAAAGATGATTATGGATATGAATGACAATTGCGCTTTATTCGGATCACGTAAAAGGTGATGAAGCATTTTTTGGAGGTGTTGTATTCGAGTAATTAAATGAAGGTGTCTAGCCAGTAGCTTTGACTGATGAAATGATTCGCATAATATATAGTTGGTATATTTACCCTTGGCTGCCTAATGATGCCAATGACATATAGTCCGCATCTACCCGGGTTGCTCTTTTACAGTGAAACCCTAAATTACTGACCGTATTTAGCAGTTTCTTATGAGCTTGATAATAGTTATATGCGGTTATCAACTATATCGAGATATGAATTTGTTTTTTGTATATAATCCATATGCGATTTACCACACATACGTTTTCCCGTATTTTTATACGTGTATATCTGGTAATTTGTACAAAGGCATCGTAATAATATAATAAATATAACATTTTACGATTGGTTATGATACTGATACTGATGGAAAGATTCATTCGTATGAACCAATAAAATGAATAATAGAGACTGGTTTTTTTAATGATAAAACCCAAAGTTGCCAATGTATTGTTTCTCTTTCGTGCTCTTCTCGTTAATGAAGCGTAAACATTCACCATCCGACAATAGCACAGGAGAACGTAAGTAGATACTAGCTCCTAGTAAAGCAATAGATGACTGACCTAAAACAATTAAAGCATCCTCCGTAACAAAGCGCTTGGACAAGAGAAAGGGTAGAGAAGGTACATAAAATTTTCATTTACCTATAACTTTCTGTTTTTCATAATGCGTCTATGATTAGGGCAACTAGATGAGCAGCTGCTTCGTTTTTCTTGCCAAGATGTTGACATAAACATTACTTCTCCTACCATGCCTATTGATAACAGTTTCCGTGATATAATTCTTAATGCAATGAATAACTATACGCATAGTTTTAATGAAAGTATTAAGAGCACTGTCAAGTTTCTGGAGAAACATAAAATACATGTAGTTCGTAAAAACATGGACGAAAATATCAACATAATGATGGTTACTTCACCCATACAATACTTGGTTGGGGTTCTTAAGGGAAAATTTGAGAATAATTTTGTGTTGCATTCAGATAGGCATCCAAATCTTACTGCTGTTCCAAAAGATATGTTATTGCTTTACGCTTTTAGTCAAGTCTATGGGTATACAATCTACTGCTTTTCAAGTAGGTCTAAACCAGCAATAATTCATCCCAACAACAAGCACCGTCAAGACCGCTCTTTACCGTACTTTGGTGTGTTAAAATCAATTAATTCGTATACTGGTATTGTTGAATGGTTTGGATTGGAACTCAAAAACAGACCCAAAGATATGTCAGGTGATACCACCCCCACCAGTGAAATTCCCAAGAATATTGTAGCTAAAAAACGAGCCACAGACGAGAAAAAACCTAGAGCAAAGAGACAAAGTGTCTCATCTGTTATAGATGATGAAATAATAAGGCTGCTTGTTGAAGAAACGAACACATTATATCAAAAGAAATGGTCCAAGTTCAAAATTGACAAGCACAAAACCTTATCTGAAAATATACAAAATTTTTCATCAACTTTATCAACCAAACAGTTTCCAACAGGCTCTGCTGGTATTGTAAAAACAAAGGTTGAGCAGTTGATCAGACACAATCACTTTCCGACCGTAAAGCTTGAAGATATGCCAACGTCAGCATTGTGGGTGCAACAAAAAATCAATCGACTCAAACAAAATGGCAAAATCAGCATCGATAAATGTATCAGTGACTTTATTATGGGGTTAAACTCAGAATCATCAATACAAAATAGTGCGCCTGAGGATACAGATACGGCAATCGATGAGAATGACGACCAAGATTTAGAAGATATTGATTACAGAACAGTTAGTAGAAGCCTAAAACGAGTAGTTAATAAAGACTTGGACTATAGCATCTTTTTGAAAAAGCTCGAAGATCTGCAAGAGATCTGTGATAAATGCTGTTCGGGCCTTTCGAAAGCAACGGAGATTTTGGTTGACGGCATTATATCAGGTGATATTCTTCCTTCTAGAGAGCGTACCTTCTTTGATTTTCAATTCATTGATTTGCACTCACTTAAAATTGAAACTGGCGAAGAGAAAATCGCGATTGTAGATGACAGTGATGAAACGTTTTTGAAACAAAGTAATATATTTACGTTCAAAGGCTTTTGGAAATTACTTTCCAGTTCAGTAGGTAGAAAAAAACCACACGAGTTTAAACACCCGTAAGTAAATATGCTTAATTATTCTATTGAGAAAAGTGATTCCTAACTTATTTTACTCGTCATATAGGGTGATTGACTACGTATCAAGAAAAATATCAAGCGAAAACTATTGTGACTTTATAACCACGCCAACTTTAGTTTCTGCGTGTAAACAGTTCTTCACCAATTTTTTAAACATGTGGACCTATCAAAGATTTGTTTCTGATTTGAGGGTCACACTTACCCTTATTTTACGCTTGCATCTTTGTCCGAAGAAATCTCATCGTCTGAACCATCCACATGCATCAAAGAAGCAGAAACAAAATTCACAAAAATCCCTCAAAACAGTTAAAAAGCGACACCAAAAAAGGGTCATGATAGATTTGTTTGACGCGATTGCAAAATATAGCGCAGGAAAGCTGAACAAAATACATGTTGTGGAGAAACTTATCGACGGTGTTTTCAATTCTTGTGAGAGGGGCCGTTCAGATTTGGAACCACCTGTAAATAAAGATGATAATTCCAACGAATTTGAAGGTAATAATTAATGGAATACAGTCATACGTATTGTTTTTAAAAAGCTTCGTTTTTATAATTTTTACACAAATAAGACGCCGAAGATTTTAATGAGAATGACGAAGATTTAGTAATAATTGATAATGTTACTGAGTCAGATACCAATGATAAAGATGTCAAAGACCTATCAGCCAAAGAAATTAAAGCTTTGTGTGCAGTATGCACAATGTTGATTACGTCCCCTTCCATCGAAGGAAATGTAGACGCAACCTATATCAAAAAGCAACTTTATTACGATAAGCAAGAATCTATACCCGCCCATGTATTAGACACTTCTGCTAGAATAGTCAACGAGTTACGACTAATAAGTTGTAAAAAAGATGAAAAAAACGCTTTCAGATTTTTCCAGATGCGCAAAATCAGAAACTCACTGGTCAAGTTTGTTGGTCCGACAGGTACAAGATTTAAGGAGAATCGAATGTTTCCAAAAAAGGTCGAAGAAAAGCAAAAGATGTCTATCAATGTTGATGCCAGGACCTTATATCTTTTATTTGCTAAAGAGTACAGCATTTTTAAGCTCGATGGTGTAAATATGTTTACGAATTCGGCAACAATCAAGTCCATAGAGGACAAGAGGGCGGTTTTTTCAAACTTTTTCAATTTAAACATGGTTGAAAGAATTATCCAGGAACAAAAACTAACCCCAATGTATTCATTTAAGTTTTGTCATAAGTACAGCTTAAACTTTCTTGGGTATAAAAACTTGCAAAAGGAAGAAGTGCCACACGTTATTTCTACAAGTAGTTTCACCTCTTTGGATAGTAATACAGAAAATAGGAAACTGAAGGTCGAACGTCTTCACAAAGAAATCAAAGAAGAAAAAGCATTGCAAGTCCGTCTGAGTAAAAACGTTCGTGAAATAGAAAATACTAGAATGGATCTTGGCCAGACCTTAAGAAAAAACCAAAAGCTAGGTACAATGACTTGTGATTCAAACCTCTATCGAAACTTGAAGAATATCCGCAAGGAATGTAACGCAGTATACAGTCAACTTCTTTCTCTGAATAAATCAATTAAGACCAAGAGCTCAGAAATGTATCACTTAAACAAAGGGATACATAATCAGAATGAACCAACGTCAACAGCTGGTATACGTCTTTCTGAAAAATCACAAAATAGCATCATATCAGGCCAAGCAATTATTCAAGGCTTAGATCCAGGTGTTGTAACAACTGCTTCAATCAGTGCAACCAAATCTTCTTCTATGTTTCAAAGTATTAATAGGTATAGCGCACTGGAAAGTCTGGAAAATTATGACCATGATGTCGAAAATGAAGTGACCTTTGAACTGACGGCAAAGCGAGTAAATAGCGCTATTCTAGACACCGAGCACATGATACAGAGACAAAGAAAAATTAAAAACAAAAAGGAGTTTACACCGTCGTATCTAAACCAGCGTCAAGTTACTAGGAGTATTCGTTTGAAAAGATATTACCAGCATCTGCATTCCTCACATAAGAAGAAACTGTTCCGATTTTTAGGTAACTCTGGTAAAAACCGTAGCGTCATATCATTTCTGGGAAACTGGTCTGGTGTTTCGACTTACATAAGGGGTCATACTAGAAGAAGCTTAGACCCTTTTATAACACAACTAAAAAGTGTAGAATTGGACAGTTTTGCGGCGGTTGACGAGTACAAGTCAACAGTAACATGCAGCTCATGTTTTTCTTGCACAAGTAAGCAACTTGTCAGGAGAAACGGCAAAATCAAAAGGCTCAAAGGGGCAGTAGTTTGCAACAACTCGAAGTGCCCAAGAAGAATCTCCTCAAAATCAACAACCATTAACCGTGATCAAAACGGTGCAAAAAACATTGGGTTAATTGGTTTTTCTTCCATAGTCTCGATCGATGCTCAGCCGCTTCCGCCATTTAGACGTACCTTTTATAATACACATAAGTATGGCGACGGTAAACAAATATAATTTTACAGATACTAACATCATTTCGTTTAAAAGGTATGACTTATCAAATAAATACCAACAAGCCAGTCTGGCTACGTCGGTTGGTCCGGTTGATCCGGTGACTCAATTTTCCGAGTGATTGTCCCCCCAGACATGTCTCTCGCGCCAAAATTTTTATACTGCGGTTTCTTTTAATTATTCATTTTCATTTGCTGTTTCTTTTAACAAATTTAATTATTTTCTTACCAAATGCCAGACAACACGCAAAAACCTTTCAAGTTCACATCCAGTTTGTTTGAGCCTGAAGATGAGGACGAGTTTATTAATTAGTGCGACTTTGTTCCTGTTGTTGATTACAATAAATTCGAACTGGATGAGTTGGACTTTTCTAATTTCGAATCACGGGCTCCCAAGAAGCCTCGCCAAAATCCCGTTGAGGATTTGTCGCAACAAAATGAGGCTTTGCCTCAACAAGATGCTCTTAACGATTGGGACAACTACTTCGACTTAAATGACAACAATTGTTACGATGGGCCTGTGTTGACAGAGGAAGAAATTCTTGCCAATGAGAAGGAGGCTGCAGCAAAAGAAAAAGCTGCCAAAAAGGCTGCTCGGGAGAAGCGTCAGATGAAGCCTACGCAACTGGCCAATGACTGGGAGGAGAACCTTGAAGGTGTTAAGGCTGCCTTTTTTGAGTCGATGCAGGGAGGATTCCCCAAAGCTGAAGCTGTTGAGGTTGAGGCACCTGCTGTTCTTTGCGAACACCACGAAGTGAAATTTCGGGAAGTGAAATTATACTTCTTTCACCGTAAGTTTTTCTGACCGATTTGAAAGTGTACTTTTACTAAGAAACATCTTAATGTAGGCCATGTCAAGGTGAAATTCCAAGAGTGCGATTGCAAGCCTCTTTGGAAAACTTTAATGCTCTTGCAATTCATGCCTGCCAGCATTAGACAACCAAAGTGTGCTGTACACTTTGGTTTCTTGCAAGCCATTCACGACCGTAAGGTAATCGGCCAGGATTCAGTCACGTCCTGGGTCGAGTGGATGAATTTGCAGAATTCAAGAAGAGCCGCTAGTGACTCTGGTGAGGAGGTAAGACTAATTCATGGACTGTATTTACATTATTTGATTGCTTACACACATGTTTTTACAGTTGCTGTCACTTGGTCAAGATGTGTTGAACAGGTGTTATCTCATTTACTGTAGATTATTGCTGTCTATCGAGAGAACACTTGAGGAGGAGTTCGCACAGTCTTTGGATGGGATCACGTTGGCACCTTCCTGCGTTGTTTGTTTAGTAAGATTATTATAAAACGGCACCACATATCAATTTTTAATCCTATGATTTAGGGTTCCGAGCGAACAATGATAATAATGGATGGAAACTTTTCCCAGAAGCGCCATAATTGTGCTCATAACTCACCTGAGTCTTTTTTGGTGGATCAAGTTGACGAGCTTTGGGGTAAAGCGAAGGATGTGGAGAAGTTCCTGAAGGATGATTGCCCTGTCAGTGATTGTGTAAGATCTTGTTTTTATTTTCTTGATGAATATTTGATGAATATAATTAATCTGTTTTTTTTGAAATGTTTAAATTACTCTAGAATGCTGAACTCCAGTATGTCGGTGATGGTGATGGTAAAGATGGTGATGATAGGGATGATGGTGCTGGCGCTGGCGCTGGCGCCGGTGCTTGAGCTAAGACGAAGGCTAAGGCTAAGGTTAAGGCTAAGGCTAAGGCTAAGGTTAAGGCTAAGGCTAAGGCTAAGGCTAAGGCTAAGGCTAAGGCTAAGGCTAAGGCTAAATCCAAATCAAAGGGTAAAGTTAAGGCTAAGGCTGATGCTGGTGTTGACGGTGTTGTTGAGCCTGAGAAGCTTCATGCAGCTGAAGATAAGGCTGTGAAGAGTAGAGCCATTGATGCCAATGGTGTATTTGCCGCCGGCTGTGCTAGACACGGTATTCCTGCCTGCTTGTTTGATATTGACAAGGGCGAGGGGTAAATAAGAAAACCAACTACATCTATAATTCGTCAATGCTAATATTTCCAAATTTAGGTTCAAGTATGCATTGGCATCTATTGAACATGTATTGAACAATAGTGCTACTAAGGACCTCCCCTTGGACATCATGTATGACTTAGCTTGCCAGATTCGCCCTTCTGCCGAGGTAAAAGTTATAATTTGTTAGACTTTAAATAATATGATCTGACTTATTTTTTTTTATAGTATCGTTTTCCAAGTATGAAGGGCGTTTCTCGCTATGCGGTCACGGTGTTCCATGCCAGTTCAACAGCTGTACCTCAAATCCCAAGCAGTAATAAACGACGAAAATACTTAAAGCCTTCTGATTTTAAAGACCCATCCTTTGAGGAAAAACTTGGAAAGCTGAATTTGTACTAGTATGTATTTAACATCGTCACATCAAAGAAAGTTGTTAATTAATTGATCGATTCTATAGTGGCGAAAATAATGTTCTTGATCTGACGAAGTGGAATGTTATTCCAAAACGTTTAAAAAATATAACGGAAAAAATATTAGTTCATTATGGCCTTGTTTTGGATACAACGTTGTTGAATCAAGAATATGACATGTTGACTATTATAAGTAATTGCAAAACATTGAAAGAGCTTAATGATGCGGTGACAAACATTGATCCTTTTAACGAGGTTTCAGAGTTACCTTACATTCGTCTTGCAATACATAAACTGTGCGCGTTTTAACTAAACATCTAGCTAAAATTAAATACTAATGTTTTTTTCAGTTGTAACTCGATCTATAGAGACTTATTAACAAGAGATCATCATGAAGATTGGTACCGAATAAATGTTTATGGAGATCTGTTTGATTTTATTTTCACATCTAGAACAGAATATACAACAAAACGGTATGTTTTATAAAAAAATCATGCACTACGAAGCCAATCTTCTAAATATCTATACTACTATTTATAGATCCGAATGCCATTCAACAATAATAAAAAGACTGAAAGAACAGCAAGCTCTTCCCGAATCTACAAAAGACGTCAAACTTGATTTTATTTTTTCACATATGAATAATGAAATGACTGATAGTTTCTTTTGTGAAGATAAAAGTACTGACAAAGAATCGGGCAAAGATGGAAGAAAGGCTCATTATTTGCGTGAAAAATCTTTGGAGTATTGGACGACATTACTGCCGTATAGTTCTGAAATACAGCATCTTACCTCCATCTCTTGTCAGTTTAATAGACTGAAGTTAAGGGCATTTCGCTTTTGAATAAGCACATACTTGGGAAAATTATAAAATGTCATTTTTGATCAAATCGTTTCAGAAAATGCAAAAATTAAAGCTGCAAAAATAATCGCTGGCATAACTGTTCATGTTATCTTAAAGGAAGTTCGAATCCCAACAGATGCTCGTGATAGTTATTCAATTGCTGAATATTTAATGACGGTTATCTCGCTCATTGTAAGTTCTCGAGTTGTATTCAAAACATGTCATCTAACACATATTTCCCTCTATCTCTTACAGAGAATGGTGATTGAAAACTTTGAAAAATTGAGAATCATCTGTGATGCTGCAAAGGAAGATGATAGAGTATTTGCTAATTCTGTTTCTAACATCTCTTGTAAAGAAGATTCGTCGATTTCGTCACAAGAATCTGATTCGTCAGATGGATCTCAAGATCTCGAGGTTATAGAAAGGGAACTTCGTGTCAAAAGGAATATTAAAGAAGCCACGGGTAAATTCAAGGGACAATTATTATTATATAACAATTGTGATAGTGAGCACCAGACTTTTAGTTGTCAACTTAGTTTTATTATTTATTAAGAGTATTTCTGTAGTGATCTTAGACGATAAAATATATGGATAAGACAATTAAATGCAAATCGATAATAATACAGTGAGAGATGAGAAGAGAATATAGTTCTTAGATGTCAAAGATAAAAGAGTTTACGACGGGTTTATGTAAGAAGATGATGTGATTGTATAATTTACAATAGACAACAAACAGCAACAAAAAGCGGAGGAAATACTACTAGTATCAATTACAAGATAAATCCCAAATTTAGGTGAAGACAAAACTAAAGAATCTTTATTAAAAAATGAAAAAAAGCAAGCGTATTTATAGGAAAGATCCTATCCTGTGTAACAACAAGTCACATTATTATTGGCTGCAACAGTACTTGGGAAGAAATTACAGAAGTCGCACCTTAGCCTTCGGTAGTTGTTTTAAATTGCATTCAAGTCATAACTTATAGTTTCTATAATGGAGATATCGTTTTTTTTTTTTCTTTTTTTTAAATTTTTTTTTTTTCATATCGTTATAAAGTATAATAATAAAATCAGCATTAGTTTAGTGTAATCATGTTGCAAAGTAGTAAACCGAAGAGTAGACAATGTAATAATTTTACCACAAAGGCTGAAGTAATCTGGAATCAACTCGATTCTTTATATATATATATATATGAACTGTCAAAGTTTATGTGGCATTGTATGATTATCCTCTATTCTTGATATAACATGGTTTAGGCCAGTTTTTTCTTTTTGCAAACTAGAATAATTCTGAACGCGTAATGACTGGTGCGAGCGAAAAACCTATTTGAAAACTACCATGAGAAATAATAATATAGTTGATGTGGTAACAATATACAGTGGTAATTTCTATATCAGGATTCCTGTTATGCATCATTCCAACAGTATGAAAAAAAGTTTGTATAGTCACTGTTTTAATCTCTTCTGTTATGACGGCAATTGCGAAACGAGATCCCAGATAAGAAGTAGAAGGTTGAAGGAGTGTTTATCTTGACCTTTGAACTAGTATTACTAACTTCCCAAATTCTGATCTTCTAACGGCAAGCATATGAAATCATTGACTATGTTTATTAATATGGGTATTGATAACGGTTAAAAATAATGGTATAAGGACTTTTTATATGTGCAAGTTTGATGGTGTGTATGAATGCCACAAACATTATGAGTTCAAAAAATCTAACATCTCCCCAATTAGAAGCTATTTAAGCGCTTAAGACTTCAGCTAACTCACTTTCTAAATACTTCTACCCGTGAAATATTTACGTATTTACATAACTGTATTAAATTAGTCTTGTTCAGCATCATTGACTATCTCAATTTTTCCCTTGTGAAAAGCCTGCTGACAGATTAAAATTCATAAACTTCATTATTTGACAAAGATCATCATTTAATGCAGTTTACAACAGAATCTATCGTCACATTTCAAAGAACAATTAATGCGTCAATGATGAATTACGATCCAATGAAATCGTAAAAGCATTTACCACGAAAAGGTTTACAGAGAAAAAAATCAAGTCTAAACCAATTTTGTGTGACCAGGAAGAATCATCAACAAACATAAGGACATTTGCCAGTGGTCAAGATTATATAGGTTTAGCAGCTCATCATTCCATTAATTTTGATTGAGAATATATGTCAGTGGTCATTAGACACGAAGCACCTAGTGAGGGGTACACTGTAGAACATTTAGTCGCCTTGTTTTTGGGAGTTGTTGATGGTTATGATATCCGATCCAAGCTTGCTTTTAATTTTTGTGATGATGAACTAAAAAATTTAATAGTGGGTGTTTAATTACTGGAAACCGACATGTTTTATTAAAAAAAAGGAAAAGAGCACACTCTCTTCTGTCTTCCCCGTGTCATTAGTCTATGTTTACAGCAACTTTTGAGATAAGCATTTGGGTCAACTCCTACAAATGCATCAGAGTGCGTGGATATCCATGTTGAAAAGCCTAAGAATATTCACGACATATGTGTTTCACATTTATTTATCATCCCTTCTCCTGCACAAATAATGAATCATGACTAAAAGTGTCCTTACGTCGTTGACACCCTTAGTTCAAAGAAAAGAGAAGCAATACTGCTAAAACCCACGTAGCACTTTATTTTAATATATCAATAATATGACTGATGAAATTGTTGATTCTAGGCCACCGTCCAAACAGTTTTTCAAGTTTTTTTTTTTTTTTTTTTTTCTTTCAATTATATCTTGATATATTGAAATAAAGTGGTATAGTATCATTTCTCTTTTCCCATTGCTGGTTTTTTTCTCTCCATTCCAAACAAGTTCAAATTGCAGAAGAGAACTTACAGTTATGAAATACATTCATGATGGTAGTATACCACCAAGCTAAACTTGAACGTTGGTTTTTTTTTTTTTTTTTTTTTGTAGATTCCCTTCTGACCTCAATTTGTGAATATTTGCCCAATTATTAACAGACCTTGAAAAGCTCACAAAATTAAGTAAAGGAAATAATTGGTTACGCCAGAAAGTCTCCTTCATCAGAGGGTCAGGAAACGAGTAAAAATTTTGAACTCCATGAGCAATAATTTGCGTACTCCTTCCCTAGCAACATGTGTCTATGTCTCTGTTTGCTCACGGTCATCAACACCATTTCAAGAACACGATCTTTAAAATCAGGAAATTTATGATGGATTAAGCGATATTGATGGAGATACTCAAGGTAAATATTGATAGCACAGAATAGTCTTGCTCATTTACTAACAATAGTCTGTCAACTTGATACAGAGATGTCAAAGTATTTACAGTCTTCTTGGTATCTCTTAATTTTTCTAGACTATCATTTAAGGATTCAAAGGGTAAGATCAAGGTTCGTTCAAATGTTTTAAAATCGGCGTATGCTTGAGTACAAAAAACTCAAGAGAGATTTTATCAAACTGGCAATAGTTTCAAAATTTATGCTATTTATCTAGAAATACACTGGATATAAATGGTACAGGTGAGGGCTTTGACAATGTCACTATAACAGGTTGAGTTCTGGATAGACGTAGTAAAAAATCTCAATATCAGCCAATCTATCATTAAATTTTCTATACTTCTTGACGTTTTATTCCTTATAATCAACGTAAAAAAAAATTATACAAATTATTACCAAGACTTTCTACTTCATAATTCACCATAAAGAATATCCTTATTTTTGTTTCGTTGCTAAACAGCCTAACTGGAAAGGTCGGAGGACAAAAAAACAGTGAACTTGTGAAAAGAAAGGTTTCCAACATGTTATTGCCTTCCCACAGAAATGACACCACAGGTCTTTTTTGCCCGGATTAGATTCAGCTGGTTTACTTATAGTGCTGAAGACGACTGATCATGGATTTAATAAAGTTCGCTATAATCATGAAATATTGAAACTAGCATGTAATCTACAAAAAAAAACACCAATCAATATTCAATCTTGGTAGTGTGATAATCCATAATAAAAAAGAATAAAGGGTCCATAACTCATACAAAGATGGGTCTTCTAAAAAAATAGTTCTAATGTGATTTTCCTTTTTTATATTATTTTGAGTGCTCCTAGATAGTGCTTTTTGAATCTCGTTCAAGTAATGGAACATACGAGTATTTAGATGGTGGAGCGTGTACTCTGCTTGTAAGCAACAAATAATTGTCAAGTTTCTTTAACATACCCTGCAAAAGCCTTGCTCTCGTGCTGGGAGATCACTTTCGAGCATCTTTGGGATTTAAGCTTTTTAAAGGTTCTTGACGGTTGTGTAAGGAATTCGAAACAGAATCAGTTAAACTATCAATTAAAAAAAACTTTATCCCCAACTTTTTCCCTCAACCATGTCTTTTAGGATTACCATAAGAAACATCCTACATGTTTTATAACTCTTTAACACAGATTCCATTCTGTTTATTAATTTTTTTTCCTCCGTTAAAAGTAATAATTACTCGGTTTTTATAACAGGAGTGTTCTGGATATAGTGTGCCCAATAAAAAATAGAGAAAGTCCAGAAACAAGGTACAAATTCTGTATATGCCAGCAGGACGGATAAAAAAAAGAGCGTTTAAAATGGTCATATCTTGATTTGTATGCAGCAGCTCACATTTCATTTTCCACTGCTTCTCATCTTTTCAGTCATGTTTTTTTAGCAGCTTTTTGTTAAGTACTTTGTCCACATCGATATATGCTTTAGATTAAATATCATTTTCTAAATCGATGGGTTATTAAATAACTTGGGAATCTAGGTAAGGATAATATGAGAAATACCGGCCATGTCAAAATTATTGGCTATAGGACAACGCTTTTTATTACGTCAGAAACTATGTTGTCCTGTGCTCTCCAATTGATTGGTAGTTTATGAGTACTAAAGAATTAAATCAATCTTTTCTCTAAATTAGACTTGTTCAGGTACCCTAATCTCTAAGGGTTAGGCCTAATTGGTTATTGTGGGCATTCGGAAAGTTTCAGCAACCTTGCTTAACTTTATCAGTGACGTCAAGAACTTATTAGATAAAAGCTGGTATCCAAAGTTTCTTCAGGGCGATTTGCATGATTACTTGTATTTTCAAAACAATCTTCACTAGCAATAAAAAGCTGGTAATGATTTAAATCAATTACAACTTCAAAAGGTGTGTCACCAAAATCACTCAGGGATTTGTTGTTGGTGTTGTCGAAAGAGTCAATCATCGTGGTACCAGGAATAGCAATTTTTGAAATCTTAATTACCGCTTTGTTCTTCATACTATGCATTGTGTCAGTAGGCACCGTAGTGCAACCAAAAGCACAAGCTGGTTTGCTTCCTTTGACATGAACAGACACAAAGGTATTTGGGTTAGGATTTTCAAAAATTTGAGTACCAATTGGAGTAACATGTTGTAAAAAATTGAATATTTCCAATGATACATAGGCATCGCATGCGGCATAGTTGATTTGATTTTCTGACAGACTGGTGGAGCACCAATCACTAAGTCTTGGTGAATTGCTATCTTTGGTTAATTTCTTTTTAAATAATTGGGATCTAGCAAACCCGTAAAGTGGGAATAAAAAAACCGCAAATTGGTACCGTGAGCACTGTATACACAACAATTAAATGGAAGTCGAGTATTTTGGACACGTACAATCGTTTTCAAAATGTATTGGTACTATCCACATTTGCATGAGTAGAAAACCGCTTTTTTTTTTTGCAGGACGTAAATGTAACCAATGATTAGAAAATCCTCTCAAAAAAATAAAATCAAAAGGTATAAAAGAAGTCTTCAATTAACCGTTTATTTTTTTCGATATCAACATTAAACTGATTAAAAAAATTATTAAACTATGAAATACTCATTAGCACTTTTGACTCTTGTGTGCTTCCTCTTCCAATTTGTGTTTGTCACTGCTGCTGCTTTCAATCGTAGACAAGACGATCCTGATGATGCCAACAAGCAAGGTATGGGTGGCGGCTTTGGTGGTGGAAACGGTGGTGGAAACAGTGGTGGAAACGGTGGAGGTAATGGTGGAGCTCAAACACAATTTGGGAGTCCACTTTAACCCAGAAATAATCGAAATTGAGTACCAACCTGAATATCCAGTGTCAACAACAGAGTCTTTTTCTGCTGCAGTAGGATATGAAAGTGAAGAAGAAGATGACACGATAGGATCGTTGATTGTACAAATAAAAAATCATCTTGGACTACAAATACCAAACATACGGTCTTATCTTGAACTCCCTCCAACACAATCCAAAGAAAAAGGCAGAGCAATGACAGTGCGTGATGAGTCAAAAGCCGCAGCAACTTCGGAACCAGAAGCGTTAATATGTTTAGTGGCTTCTGTGATAAAGACTTTTGTCTCATTTACAGCCACTTGGTTATTATGGAAAAGCTTATCGCCATTATCTTGGTTGTATCAATACAAGAACGGGGTCACTGCTGGACAGTCAAAAACAATTTTGAAGAAAAAATAACTTTTTGTAAAAATTTATCTCAAATTCAATGCACTTCTTAAAAAGGCAAAGCCTAAGTCAATTGACTTTTTCAGCTTTTTTGTTGGAAGGTACATTGTTAACCGTGAATACGGCTGTGTTTACCTTCCCCCTTATTCACCTGAACTAAATCGGATTAAACAATTTTGGGAAAAGGAAACACTTACTACAAGAATATCCGATGCTTGTAACAGTATTCTCTTCAGTAATTTGCAAGTTTCTCGAGATAAACTTCCGCTTTAACTTTGGCACACTTTGTACCATAATATTTGTGCCTTGACAAATTTGTCTATTGTGTCAAAAACAGATTCCATTTGACTGTAAATAAAATAAATGAATTACCCGTAAAAGGTTTATAATAGATTACTTACAGCCGGTACTTTGAATGCAAGTTTTTATTGTACAATGACAGAATTAGGCCTGTCACCGCTTCGTAGTTACAAATCTTGACACCGGTGACAAATTTTTTTTATTTCTTCTCGTTTTGTCACCGCTATTTTTATTTCTACTTGACACCGGAAATGTCTAGAACTCCGTATTTTTTTCAAACGTATTTTTTCAAACGTATTTTTTCAAACGTATTTTTTCAAACGTGATGGTCTACACGTCGATTGACATGCCATATCATCTAAACCTCATTGGATTATCGTTTTCTGTTTTCCATAAAATCTGCTTTACTGTCATTACAAGCTACTACTGGAATGCAGATAGACAATTACCAAGCTCTGACTTGCTTGGGAGGTTTTTGCAACTGTTTCTATTTTAAGTAAAGGCTTAAACATTATGGATGATAAAATAGACAAATGAAATCATCCTGACATAAGCTTGTTTATCAATAAATAAAGCTGGTTCACACACTTTTTTCTTCTCCTTTTCTTTTTCCTTAACATACTTCTTTTATCGTATGAAAGTAACCGATCACATAAAAAGGTTAGTTTAGTAGTGACTCTTGTTTCTTGAAAAGAAGCTAAATTGAAAAAGATATATTGTGATATCCCGGCTGCGGCTAGTCTTTGCTATGGGAGGGCGACCTCCTTGGCAGGGTTCTTGAGTTTTTGGAAACTCTGGGGCTGTGAATGGCTGTGAGTGCACTGTAAATAGTGTTATTTATACTGGCTTCCTGGCCTTAGTCAGAATTTCTGTAAGTGGTATGTATAAAAAGAATACGGAGGTCTAGACATTTCCTATTGTTCTTCCTTGGCGCCACCGTCCTGGCACTGACATGATTTCCAAGCTCGTTTTACAAGAAAAACCAATTGTCAATGTAGTCGTCGAATATGTAATTGGTATGAATCTAACACGCAATTATCTGTTTTTTATTACTCTTATTCTTATTCTTATTCTCATTTGGTAGGAACCAGAGCTAAAGACAAGTACAAAGCCAATCCACCTGAATGGATCAATGGGACAAGATCTGATGTTCTCTTTACCTGTGATGAAAACGATAGTTCCTTGCCTCCTGTCCTCATCGAAGTACAACACGTGGTTGACGATAATTTTATGCGACGTCTTCTTGGCTACTGCCTTTCTCTTGAGAAGCAATATGGTGTTCTACCAATCGTTTTGATTTTCCCCGTCTCCTCCATTAAATTTGAAGTATTGAACCGAATCAGAAAGCGCAAATCTCATCCATTGCTTATCCACTATCCCTGCCATCCTTGGGCACAAGCTTGCTTTATAGTTGACCGAAACGGTTTAGAAGAAAACCTGCAGCAGCCTTTGATCCCATTTGCCAGTGTATGTTTATTCTTGGTACGACAAGATTTATCCCTCCTTCGCTCACCATATAATTCTGATCAAACGATGCAGCTCTTATACCGTCTGGCTCAGCATCATGTTGGAACTACCATTTTGGATCATGATCACATCACTGACGATGTTTTGTCCTTTTGCAATGAAACGAAGACTCGGCTGGAAAAAATACTACGCCTTCAAGAAAACGACCATGACAAAAATGAGGCTATATCATGTCTAAAAAACACACTTTTATTAGTCGGTTCATACCAAGAAAAGTTCAAACAACCTTGTATTGCCGCTGATTCTTACCCTGAGTTATCACCATCACCATCACCATCCACTACTTCCCACACTTCCCACACTGACCACCCTGACCACACTGAGCCATCCACTTCTGCTGCCTCCCCTCCTCCTCATTTACAGACACAGCTCCAAAAAACTGACGCTAACTGGGACTTTGTGGAAAATTGTATTCAAAAGCTCAATGGAGATCAGACTTCTTGGAAAGCTGTATACCAGCAAGGGAAAAGTCAGGGATTGTTTACTACCTATTCCAATGTTGCATCCATGAAACGTTCCTATTACCGAACAAAAAAATGAAAAATAAAAGCTGTTACATATAAAGAAACTAGGTTGTTCATTAGAGACCGTGCTGAGAAAACTTTCGTTATCAAGTTCTCATTAATAGTAACTGTAGATATGGATGTATTACCTTAGCTACAAATTTGTAATTGTAATGACTCTATTTAGTCAATGATGTATCGCGTCATCTTCTTCTTCTTCACTTTCATATCCTACTGCAGCAGAAAAAGACTCTGTTGTTGACACTGGATATTCAGGTTGGTACTCAATTTCGATTATTTCTGGGTTAAAGTGGACTCCCAAATTGTGTTTGAGCTCCACCATTACCTCCACCGTTTCCACCACTGTTTCCACCACCGTTTCCACCACCAAAGCCGCCACCCATACCTTGCTTGTTGGCATCATCAGGATCGTCTTGTCTACGATTGAAAGCAGCAGCAGTGACAAACACAAATTGGAAGAGGAAGCACACAAGAGTCAAAAGTGCTAATGAGTATTTCATAGTTTAATAATTTTTTTAATCAGTTTAATGTCGATATCGAAAAAAATAAACGGTTAATTGAAGACTTCTTTTATACCTTTTGATTTTATTTTTTTGAGAGGATTTCCTAACCATTGGTTACATTTACGTCCTGCAAAAAAAAAAGCGGTTTTCTACTCATGCAAATGTGGATAGTACCAATACATTTTGAAAACAATTGTACGTGTCCAAAATACTCGACTTCCATTTAATTGTTGTGTATACAGTGCTCACGGTACCAATTTGCGGGTTTTTCATTGGCCAATTTGCGGTTTTTTATTCCCACTTTACGGGTTTGCTAGATCCCAATTAGCGTTTTTATTTTTTCAAATTACGTTTTATTAAAATATTTTTATATATGTTCCTCGTTCAAACATCTTTCAAAAGTATCGAATGAATGTTTAACAAAACCTGGAAGATGTTTGAAAGGAATTTCATTACATGCTTCACTGATCCTGGTCTTAAGATCCTCAGTGTTCCCAAACTGGCTTCTTCTAACTTTACTCTTAACTACTGCCCAGAACTGCTCAATGGGGTTAAGTTCTGGGGAATAAGGAGGAAGATAAACGCATTTATAGCCTCTAGATTCAATAATATTGTCAATATCACAGTCTTTCTTATCATGAATAGGAGAGTTATCCATAATGGGATAAAATCCTTTCATCTCAGGATATTTATCCATTTGATCGAGAGTTTTCTTAATAAAATTAAGGTAATGACCGGAATTAGTTCCTCCAAAAGAAGGCTTCTTTACAGCAGTTGATTTTCTTTTACGGCTACCTACTACTTTTACTTTTTTTGGTGGTACTGGAACTCGTATCTCAATGTTTATTGTTCCCAATGCAGAAACAGCACCAAGAATAGTATGGCTAATAGCCTTAGTAGAAGGCGTGACAACAACAGCCGGTGTTCCTCTAACCGATCTTGCAGTAGGTGGCCTCATGTTAATATCAAAAGCACTTTCATCGATGAAAATGCAATTGGTATTAAAATCCATTGAGGTTTCAGACCATAACTCTACCCACTCACGACGAGCTTTAAGCTTCTCTGGGCTATTTCGAGCTTTAGGGTGACGGGTTACGCTCTTGATAGAAAGATTGCACTCCCTTGAGATAAACTCTCCAACGACTGTTTCTTTTAAACTAAAGTTTTCGAAGTTTTCAGTCAAACTATCTACTGCGTCTTTTGTGCGTGCCTGAGGAAACTCATCAAAGTAGTTTATCAAATACAGCTTATGCTCCTCTTGAAGCTGACTGGATTTTCGGTTAACTTTGTTCGTGTTTTTTTCATATATATCCCATTAAGGATCTTCCCTAAGTCTTTCCGCCCATTGCTGTCCAGTGCGTTCGTTTACTCCAGACAATTTTGCAGCTTTTGCAGCTTTAAAAAGTTTGATCTTAATATAATACAAAAACAAAGTTTTTTGGTCAACGGAATATGTTTTGTATTTAACTGCAGTATTTCCCGTGATCAGACAATTGCTGCAAAAGAAAGAGTTTGGCCTTGGTCAGGACTTACAGCCCCTTCCAGCTCAGTACGTATTTATTATAGTCATACATGTCTGTTGCTTCGCTTGGCCGCGCAAAAAATAAAAAAAAAAAAAAAAATAAGATCAATCCGAATTACTAAATATGGTATATACTACAAAGTCAAAACAATCATTATAATAGTACTCATAGTAGGAGTAGTTGTGTAGCAGTATACAGGTGTATGCTGTTACTCACCATTAAAGGATGTTTTTATTTCATGTTTTTATTATTTATTCGATTTATTTGTTTATTCTCAAGTAAATCATACCCAAATACGACAAATTCAATTTGTCTGATTGTTATAATATATTATATGTTGCGTAATATGTTGATGAGATTGAAATATGTGGGCATGTTTTTTCTTTAAGCTGAATCACTTTGAAAATTAGGATGCATCCTTAAAAATCCTTGAGCAAGGATAAGCAAACCCGTCATAATTGCAAGAAACATCGGAATCACAAAAATTTCGAGGCTTATCATAATTTTTTTTATAATGCCTGCAAAACTTTGGTGTAAGTCTGCTTCTTTGTTTAACTTCTTAACACGCTTTGTCATTTCAGAGCTGCCTGAAGTTCAACACTTTTACGTTTCTTACTCGTAAGTTCTTTTGTTGGAGTTTTCTTAGGAACAGACGTTTGCTTATTTACCATTTGTTTGTTACCATAGTTATTTACCATTGTGCGATTACGATCTTGGTCAAGTTGTTTTTGTTTATTGACTTTGACCCAGTATTTACGAATCGTTTCGAGATCAGATAATGAGTCTGCTTTCAACCACGAGTTTTCGCGTTCACCATATCCTACCCAACATACCAAATATTCCCGATCGTTTTCAGGGCCTTTATGGTCACGAATTTCTTAGACTTCATAGAGTTCATCCCCCATGGCTGTTTCGTCTATCGATACCATTTTTAATTCAGAAGGTACATAACCTCAATGTAATAATTCATTCATGCTGTCTTTTAACACGTATGTTCCATTTTTAGTTTTCGTGATGACAGTGAAAGGTCCTTAGTATAGAGGTGATAATTTGGATGTTCTTGAGGGTAAATTTACCATTACCACTGATCCGTTAGGGATGTCAATGAGGTAATATTTATTATTGAATTTTTTTTTTTTGCTGCACTTCCATTAAAGCTTTAGTTCTGTCGTGAATAGCTGGGAAAACGATTGAGGCTTTCTTTATCAGATCATCTGTAGTGATTACTAATTTAGGAAGTAGGGTTTAATTTGTATCTGGATGATTGGAAATTTACGAACGGACATAAGTGAAAATGGGCTACTGCCAGTGGGATCTCTTATTTTCAGATTACAACAAAGTTGAGCAGCAGGTAATATAGCGTTATAACACGAAAGTCATAGGGAGGAGCAGAGTTTATTAAAGTGGTTGGGATAAAAGGAAGAAAAAAAAGGAATCAGTTATTTTAAAAGTGGCATGAATAAAGATTTGGTGTTTATATGCGTCGCGGGACAATCAAAAAATACTTTGGGGGATGATATAAACATGTGTATTTAAAAATAAAATAGAATTTTACCGAAAAGAAGATGTATGGCGTCTACATTGAACCCCTATAAAATCATGATTGTCATTTGTACCACGTTAAAAAAGGCACAGTTGCTAATGACAATTTACACTCCTTTGCCGATTGTGTTTTAACCCCTCGTACGCCACGTACACGTTATAATAGAACCCAGCGAACATTAAAAAGACGTTGGAAGCAATAATATAATAATTTACTAAAGGTGAGAGATAATCATGGGTATTAAAGAAAGGGTGCTTTTTTTGCATAAGAATATGATTGTGTATATATATAAACAAGGTATACATAGTAGCGACAGTTTGTTATAGAGAGAAATAAGGGTGCATAAAGTAGTACATAAGAAGAGGTATACGAGTATAATAAAATAAATAAATAGGGAATGAGTGTGTTATAAGCATAAAAAAAAAAAGGATGAATTAAAGAATATTATGTGCTTTTTTTTTTCTTTTTTTTTTTTTTTTTTTTTTTTTTTTGTATGTGGTTGTTTTACATATTTTTTTTTTTCTTTTTTGTTAGATTTGTTTGTTACAGTATTATACTTTTTTTTTATCGCCTCTTGGGCTGGTAATTTTCCAAGGTCTTTGACATATTCTTTGCTGGTAGACTTCGATTACATTTTTACTTTGCAAGGTTTTGAATCTACCCCAACAACAACCTCGAGAACGATGAGGCAAGTAGGTGCAAGAGATCATTGCCCAAGATAGCCCTTGTTCATAACCTTTTTGTAATAACGCATCCTCCTCTGGTGTCCAAGGAGTTCGAGTCTGAATATAGCTTGCTGAATTAGATCTGGAACGTCGGGAAGTAATATGTTGTGGTGGTGGCGGAGGCGATACAATGTAGTCGCCATTCGCTACTGAACGTCTGCACATTTCACTATTTACACGGCGACGAGTCTTGATAGTTGGGGATGGAGTAGGAGAATGATGAATACTACTTTGACCACTGCTGCTACAGCTGCTGATACTTTGAGTACTGTTTGAGCGACTATGTCTGTAAAATTCAACTTCTTCATAGAGTATATTAGTATTGATCTGTAAATGTCCTTGTTGCTTCTTTTCTAATAGAGAAGAATAAGGATCACAAGGGTTGCATAACAAATGTTTAATGTCCATCACACCTAACAAACAAATGAGGTAAATATATGGAGTATTATGATAAAGAAAGTGTATTTACCAGGCATAATATAATAATAATAGTACAAAAGAGAATTAACTAAAGGAAAGAAGAAGAAAAAAAAGAACGCGAATAATCTGATATCAGCTCCTTTTTATAAGGGAGAATGCATATCATTTTTTTTATAGGAGTATGCAAAGTTTACGCTGGATAAAAACGGTAATGATCTGCCGCCAAATCTTAAAGTATTTTTTCCTCCCTAGATAATCAAATATTTATATTATTATTACTAGATTAATACTTATTATAAAATCAAGTAAAAGGCATTGTTCATTATCATACTATCTATCTATATATATTGCACAATTACGTATAATAATCATCTAAAAATCGAATTATAATATTATAGAATGCATTATTATTATGTAGGGTTATCACAAGGACAGCATCTTTTTTTTGTTATTTTTTTTTTTTTTTCTTTTTACATGTATACTGAAAAGTTCTTACATTTTCCTTATTTATTAATAAAAACTTACTCCTGTATGTATAATTAAATTGTTGTCAATTTTATAGTACATGGTACATATCTTTTTTTTTTTTTTTTTTTTTTTTTTGGCTGTCAACAAAGAAACTTACTCATCTATTATTGTAGGTGCCATTTCATCACATATTGTTTATTTACTTAGTCTGAAATATTTAAAATCCTGCAATGCACAGAGTATTCAACTGATCAATCAGTATTATTTATTTATACTAAACATGTATAAATTATAAACCTTTTTTTGTATAAATCTATCCTTTGAGCGAAACCTTGGGTGTCGTGTGTATCCTGGGCCTTAAAACCCAGCACTTCCAAATTCAACCAAACACCTTTTTTTTTACCCTCCTTCTTTTTTTTTTTAAAAAAAAACAGCATACATATACACAAACCCCCTTTGTTTTTATTTTTACCTGTGAGAATAATTTTAAATGAGTGATGTGGTAATAACAAAGAAAATAAAGCGCACCCCCCACAGAATATGAAATAGTTTCTCATCCCAGACTTATAGCATGGAAGAAAACGAGAAAAAACTACTGACGAGCTGATTAAGGCCAGAAAAGAAAGAGAGGCAGTAAAGATAAAGGAATACAATGCGCTTGTTGAGTCCTGTAGAACAAAGGTATACATAGCAACTACTCTTTCTTTATTAAGCTAATTATACAACGAAAGATGGACAACAAAGAATACAATAAGGACACGTTTAACCTGACGACACGAATTTTACAATCAAACCCGGATTACTACACCATTTGGAACTATCGTCGCATTGTTCTTCTAGAATTGCTCTCAACAGAAACGAAGGAACAGGAACAAAAATCTTATGTGAATGAGCTACTGTTTTTTCTAGAGCTTATTCGAATTAATCCAAAATCGTATTGGTTATGGAATCATCGTATTTGGTGTTTGCAAACTATGCCCGAACCTGATTGGGAAGCTGAACTTGGGCTAGTTGAAAAGATGCTGTCTAGGGATGCCCGTAACTGTAAGTGTTTAATTTAACATGGAAAGGGCTAGAATATTGAATGCGAGGTATATATATATATATATATTTATATATAGTTCATGGTTGGGACTACCGTCGTTTTGTTGTCAATCATCTAAAGAAGGTAGCCAAGAACGAAGCGGAGGTCGCTCAGATTGTGGAACGAGAATATAAATTTACAACGAAGAAGATTGACAGCAGTTTCAGTAATTATTCCGCTTGGCATCAAAGATCTAAACTTATTCCGATTGTTGTATCCTCCATGACAGAAGAGGAAAAGAACGAGGTCGCAAGGAACGGTAAGGGGATCTAAATAATATATATGAAGGGTGCATGACTTATAAATGTATAGAGCTGGACATGGTTGAAGCAGCAGTATTTACAGATCCCGAGGATCAATCAGCATGGCTGTACTATTGGTGGTTGCTGGGTAGAGCCCCCGAGGATGTTGATATATCAGGGGCATACCAATTAAAGGACACGCCGGTAGTTATTTTGGGATTTAATGATGTGATTAAATTTATGCAGGTGCCTCGGTTTTTTGATGCAAATAATCGTCCATTATTGGGTAAATTATATCCATTATGTGAGGACAGTGAGAGTGCGTCTGTTTGGATATTTGTACTAGATGATATTACATCAAACGCTAAAAACGTATGTATGGACTCCAATACTATACTGCCTAGTAGTAGCGCAAGAAAGATACCGTCGATCAAATGGGATATAAATATAAAAATGATTGACGGAGAAAAAGGTAAAAAGGGAATGCAAATCCTCTGTACACACAACATGGATTGACTAAATGTCTATCAGGGGCTTATAAACGCGTGGAGACATTGAAAAATAACCTGAAAAAAAGTTGGACGCCATCATCAACAAAAATGTACAAGGATCCAACTTTATATGATCAATCTGCTTGGTTCACATTGGATAAAATACAGTTGTTAAAAGTGGAGATTGCGGCTATTCGAGAATTATTAGAACTTGAACCCGATAGTGCATGTAAATGTCCGATATGTATGTGCATATGTCTTTTTTCTAATCATTATTCTATATTAGGGGCATTACAAACACTTGTGCACTTTTTAAATCAACTTTTGCTACGTGAACCTGAAAAGTTGGAAATCTATAACGAATTGATCTCAACATTGGATATCTTGATCAAGATTGACACTGACAGAAAACATAGATACGAAGACCTGAGTAAGTTAAAAATAGCAATCTTTTTTTTTTTGTGTGTTTGCGTATCTATCTATTATGACTAAACTTCACTATCATGCAGAAACAAAGTTTGTCTTTGAACAAAAGACATCCTCCATGACAAACGAGCAAATATTGGATCTGTCAGGACTCCCATTTATCCCACTTTTATCAAGATTACTACTTGTGGATCGTGTGATTGTATCCTCTAAAGAGTTACAGGCGGAATTGAATCAATTGCCATTTTTAACAGAATGTGCTTTATCGCCACCATTATAATTTATTCAAAATAAAATCTAGAAATTTCTCCACTAACCAGACATCTTCCATTTCTGGTCCTATTTTAGCTAATGTAGATAAGCATTTTGAAGACAGTTCCTCTGGAAGTACTCCACTCTCAGTTCTTTTTGTAATCACAATCTTCATTGTGTCTCTGTTGAATTCGGGATGACCTTGAATAGTAATACATTGTCGGTTGTCAGATACAGTTGCATGATTGTGGGTGTTATCCTTTGTGAACGCCAAACATTTGAAACCTTCAGGCAAAACGGATACATGGTCACGATGAAGTTGATTAATTCTCTATTATTTATAAATATATGTACTTGCTTAATAAAAATGTGACATGTTCAATCCGTAATCTTTTCCCCTCACTTACCAATTTGCTCTTGTCCGTTTTAAAGAATTCCTTGCCGTAAGAGTTCAATTCGATTTCGGTGTAACCTACCTCCCACCCTTTTGGATTTCTCTCTGTAATGCCACCAGCAGCTCGTAAAAGCACTTGGTGACCAAAGCAAATTCCTACCAATTTTACTATGTGACTGTAAGGCTCCCTCTGCAGCGTATGTAAGAAATCAACCAGTTTGAGAATCCAGGGTGTATTATCGTGTGCATTGTATTTTGAGCCTGTAACTACAATAGCATCGTACTTTTTGTTCTGAATGTCTTCCAAGGAAGGGTAGTTTTGAGCATCAACTACGTCAAAAAAGTCCCAAGTAATGTCGAGGTTTTTATTACGGGCTGCTTTTTCAAATACGAGCGCGTATTGCTTTGGGTAGTCTCCGTGTTTTTCTACCACTTCAGGTAAAGGTGTATCGCATACAAGTAGAGCGAGATGCAAAGATTGTTTGGCCATGGTTGTAGGAATTAGGGTTTAAGAAAAAGAAAGATAAGGTCGTGTGAAATTCTCACTGCATGAAGTGCATCAAGCGAGCACAGGTTAACTCAGCCATTCAAACACTCATGACGCATTATTGTTATGCATACAAAAAAAAAAAACGCGTACAAATATCTGACAAATTAATTTTTTAATGTAATCTAGCTTAACTTTTAGTGTCTTAGCTCGGACTATATATGTATGAGAGTCGGTTCATTTTTGAAGGCATACGGGCATGTTTTTTCAACAAAAAATATTTTTATATATAGTTCATCTAGAACAAAAAAAAAAGAAGTTTATAGTATTGTATCAAGAACTTCAAGTATAACCATGTAGCTTGTAAGCAGACGATCGCCTCTTTTTGGATTGCGCTATAGTATATTTAGGTCTGGCTACTGCTGGAGGAGGGGCCTATTGACTTTATAGGTAAGAGCTATAAAACAAATGCAGGTAATAACACTCAGGGTAGATCTATTCTAAACAGGACCTTTTTATTTTATTTTGGTAAAGAACTAATGCAAGCCTAGCAGAAGAAGAAGAAGCAAAAGAAAAAGAGAAAAGCAATACAACGATTGTTTGCATAACGAAAATGAAAAGGTGATTTAATCTAGATAATGGTGTATTCCCCTTTTTTTCAAACGTTCTATGTGATTTTTTTTTGCTTCTAGCCATTGGAGTCGGATGCTTCGTTTACTTTCTTACGCCACACAAGGTATTGTTTATTTTGTTTGGGATGTCAGAGTTTAAAGGCTTTTGCAGACATATGCGTAAGCTATCAGCACTTACTAAAAACAATTAGTCCCTATTATTTTTTCCTAAACCTTAATTTTAGGATGTATAATATTTGTCAAAATAAACCCAATGGTATCTGGGTTGTAAAAAGTGCTCTTAGCCTAGAACATTTGTTATGCAAAGACAGTTGCTAAGTCTATAATTCTAGGTAATATTTTAAAAAAATAAAAACCTATACTTTTAAAACTACAGTAAACTATAATCATTACCAAATGCTTACAAAAAAAAAATATGGGCAGGTATTATTTTCTTTTGGTTGCCGTAACAAGCTCATTACACTTTTCGTCTTGAAACGTCGGCAAAATTTTACAAATCGATGATTTTTGGTAGTGTCGATGAATGTCTGTTAAATTTTATATAAAAATAACTTGCATACAGGCTGTACCGAGTGTAAATAAAGCAGCAACGTAAACTTATCAAGGGGGGTGGGGGCGGGAGATCCAGGTGTTGGCAGATGCAGAGTTTCAAGTATCTTTCTTTCTTTCTCTCTCTCCCTGCCATCTTTTTTTTTATCACCAAGAAATGAGACGCTCAGATATGAAAATGCAATACCAAATATTAAAATAGTATCATAAAAAAAAAAAAATGTACGTGCTCCAATCGTTCATCATGCGTGATAAGACTCTATGCAAGGCATTGTCGATGGCTCGCGGAGACATACCCCACTACTGCTACTTATGCATATATGTAAGAACTTTGCTCTTCATATGAAGATTAGTCATGAAATTCACCTAGAAAATAACATGACAGTGTCTTCAGAGCCATTTAGCCCAATTTTCGGTAACATGCAATTTTTTTTATCCGCGTGACTACGTACAGCATTTGAAGCTTCTTCTATGTCTTGAAAGACATAGCTATTTTTTTTTTTTGAAATCGTCAAATTATTATAAAATTTTCTCAGTCTATCCATGATAAATGAGTTACCTTGTTTTATAGTTCGGTTGTTATATTTTAAGAAATGTTCGCTGTAGTGCGGTAATAACTAGAAAGAAGAATGTTTATAGAACGTGTGTGTAGGCTGACGTAATGGTTCTATTTATCGCATTGAGATTAATTCGTTCAGGCAAATAGGGCAATCTAATTACTTTATTCAAATAAAAATAGCAGATGCACTTACTTGATAAAGTAACTGCTGTTCATTTTTATATAAACAGTGGAAAAAATAAATAAAACAATAGAAGCCGACAGATTGGTATAACAAAGAAAGCAAAGTGCAATAAGGCAAGCACTCCTCCCCCTATTTTAAATGAATGTGCTGTGGAATAAAATGTGTATTATGATGGCAGCTCGCTTATAGCTTTTGCAAAACCCCCACCCCGCGTGTCAAACTGCAGTTTCTTTATAAATGTGTATGACCATTCGCTTTTTTTAAAAAAAACTGTCATAGCAGCCTTGTGTTCCAGGCGCTTATCATAAACAGAACGTCAAAGCAAGCAATTATACTTTACATTGCTGTATGTAGATAGTCGTTTATCTTTTTTTTTTTTATTTTTGATATACATCAATTACGTAATATAATCTTTTCAAGTGCGTGTGATAGATGCATCAGGTTTTGTCCAATGATTTCTGTCAGTACACAGCTTTCAGTTTCGAAGACAACGTTTAAACCTTATTAAGAACCCCCTTTTTTTTTTCAAGACAGCAAAACTTTAACCTAAAAAATTTCTAAACAAATGACAATCCCCGCCGCTGTCGCCGCGTCTACCGTGGTCAAAATGCTTACGTAACATGGATTCTACCTTATAAAGTATGGGGAACTATAGATACGTGTGAAAAATGACTGTCATCCTAAATATAATTTTTCGGGATGAAATCCTCGCATTTTTTCATTACTGCTTCTGATTTTTTTTTTTTTTTTTTTTTTTTTTTGCTCCTTCCAAAAAAAAAAAAAAAAATGTATAAACCATTTCCGTTAACACCTCAAATTATCCACCTTTTAAAAGAAACCTATGGATTAAAGACGGATGAAGAAGCCGGGCAACCTGCTGTTTTTCGAGACTTTGTAGATACCTCTTCCGCCATGATGTCGACGGCTGCAGAGGTCGAAAAACAAGACATGGAAATCGAATTGGGCGGTATTCATGTATCGATTTCTGTACTTCGACCTGTGGGATCAGGACAAAAGATATTACCCATCATTTTATTTTTGTGAGTCTCTTTCAGCGCATTTTTTTTTTAAAAAATTGTTCATTATTGAAAAAAGAATTGTATATATATAGACATGGTGGGGGTTGGGTTTTTGGAAGTTACAATAGTCATCGTATATTGACAAATCAGGCAAGCCATGTTCAAGTTTTGGGTATCGCATGTGTGTAACCTTTTTTTTTTATATATTATTATTCTTAGTTGGTGACATTATTGGGATGTTGTGTGGTCTTTGTTCATTATTCGTACAGTCCAGAAGTAAAGTACCCTGTTGCATTGGAAGAATGTTATACCACACTTTGTTGGCTTCAACAAAACGCTGCTTCTATCCATGCCACAACCGAGGGACTTGTGGTCTCGGGAGATTCTGCTGGTGGAAATCTTTCTGCTGCATTAACAAGTAAAATTCGTACACACACCTCCAGGGCCCTTTTCTGACTTTTTTTTTTCTATTTTTTTTTTTTTTTTTTTTGTGTTTAGTTCTTGCTAAACAACGAGGGAATACAGGCATCAGCTTTCAAGTTCTTTATTACCCTGTACTTGATGTAAATTTTGAAACAGAATCATATATTGAAAATCGAGAGAATGCGTTTTTACCGCGTACGACGATGCAATATGTATGGGAAGCATATCTGGAAACGGATAATCAGAGCACGTTGGCTACGGCAGTTCCGATGGTATATGATGAATTTGAGGGGTTACCACCTGCACTGATTATTACTGCAGAAAGGGATGTGCTTCGAAGTGAGGGAGAGGCGTATGGCAAGAAACTCAGTACGGCGGGAGTAGATACAGTCTGTGTACGTTATGTGGGAATTGGGCATGGATTTTTGACCATGCCATTTTTACAATCTCAAGCGCATGCAGCCATTGCGCAAACGGTACACGTTATAAAATCACATTGGAACTCTTTTGAGTCAAAACTTTAATAAAATATATATTTTTTTAATCACTATCTTCCTCATCTTCATTGTCTGTATCGGAATCAATGGAATTTTCAGGTATGCGAGATTTAATACGATCCAAGACGGTACCAACCAAGGAAGGTTGTCGATTGATTTTTCGAAGACTATCAACGGCAGCAGAATTATCATCCAAGTCATGACGATTTTCGAAATCACGACGACCGTAAAAGGAACCCGTGGTCGAAGGCGAGATGGGATCGAAGGTAGGTGAGGTAGGAGAAACGGCCGTTGGTGGGATGGCAATTTCGTTGGGTTCGGCCAAGAGTTGAATACCCCCTTCTTCATCTCCGTTGGGTGTCTTGCATGTATCTCGAAACGCAAAGGGTAAAGGAATTTCCTTGATGGCACGGTAATTACCACAATTATTGATATGCTATTAAGACGTTAGTTTAAAGTGATCATGCGCCATTCCATAGAATAGACTTACTTCGTTCTCTAAACGAAAGAAATTCCATTGAATACGTCGATAGGCTTCTAAAAGCGCAGTCAAGAAACCCAGCACTTCTCCTTTGACACCTAATCCTGCTGAGTTCAAAGCCCAGGCATAACGCAAGGTGATATTAATGGGTGCTGCCACATAATACGTCCATCGATAGAACACCAGATCATCACGCAACATGAATTCTTTACTATTGGGCTGTAATAAACCCCAATCCATCTTGATATCCCACAATGAAGTATAGGTTGAATTAATCACGCAACATAATACCCAAATAATTTCCGTGGTTCGATTGGCTGTAATAAACATCAGTCTTCTGTCAATGGGTCAAAAATAGACTGATATTACTTACGATACATTCTTCGATAACCCGTGGCTAGAGTAGACGCCATACTGGTAGTATATTTGACAGCATTCACAAGATGCACCTTCTCCTTAGAATCCTTGTAACGTCGAATACACTGCAAGAAACGCCACCAAGGGGGGAGACAGGCTAAAAACGGGGTGAACCAAAAGATCTTGACGGGACAATGACTATCTAGATCAGTCCAATGCCATTGATAGGCACAAATAAAGTAGGTGAATGTCCAGAACGAATAGGCCAAGCTATTGAGTTCATCGGCAATAAAGAAATCACGAAACTCGATGGGGAATAAATAACTGAGGACGATACGGCCCAGGGAGAGACTTAACCAGCGTCGAGATGAGTAGTAAAGGATAGGGAATGGACAGGTCATGGCAGCCATGATGAGGACAAAGAGGATGAGCGGACAGAGTTCGGATGGTACGGTGGGTGCAAAGGCTTGCGATAGATCAATGTACATGACGACCGATAATAGTAAGAGCATGAGGGAAGGTAACTATGGAAGGGTTGTTATGACAGGATACTGCAAATTCACAAGCAAAAAAAAAAAAAAAAAAAAAAAAAAAAATGAGACGTACCTCTGCAAATTCATGATAATCGAGATTGTCTCTTGGATCAAACTCAAAAATGAATTTATAATTGATATGAGACCTTGTCCAAACAAGGGTGTTGACTGCAAAGCCAAGACAGAAAAAGATGGGCAGACCGAAGCAGGCGTACATTTGTAAATTATAGTCCAAGTTGGGTAAATCTCGTATCACGTTAGGGTCAGTTGCTAATTGAGTGACCCTCGCCAATAATGCTACAGAAAGACCAACGTAAAGTCCAATTCTGCATGTTGTGGAAGTATAGTTCTTTTTTTTTTTCGAAAGGTTAGAAAAGAGAAGTATCTAATCATCTAGTGTTTATCTTACCTCGTCTCGCTCTGGTATTCTTAGCTTGGACATGCCTCGTCTTCGATGGCCGTCGGCGAATTCATCAATGTATAATTTCTATAGTGGGGGAATTATTTTTTTAGTTAGACCCAAGCGATTAAATGTTGTGATGCACTCAGGTTTACCTCAGTGGCACGTAAAATGTCATCAATCTTGTGAGACTTTGCCCAATGGTATTTGTTGATTTTTTTGGTGTAAAGTGCACTTGCTTTCCAACCGGCTGTCTATTGTTTGTATGAAATGTGGTAGGTATATTGTATGTAGGATAAAGAGTAATTTTTTTTTTTTACCTTGTCAAACTTTTTCAAAATTTTCTGGAATCCACTCAGATTCAAAACCTTCAAGGGACTCGTAAATAAAACAGTTGCTGTTTAGGGAAATGATTTACCTTGTACGACTTTAATAATTCCAGACTACGATAAAATTCGGTAATGGCTTTTTTCAATCTACTTCTGGCAACATTGTAACTTATGTGATGGTCACCATTGTATTTGATGGACGAGGGTAAGTCTGGGATATCTGTGGTGGTAGCGTCTGAATCATTCGATCCTCTTCTTTTAAACCAATTCATGGGGTTCAAACGTCCATCACCCGATATTATGTCATGTGCGCTCTGTATTTATGTATTAAGGTTTGCTTATGTATTGTTGTTGTATATTGTTTTATAGTTACCCCGTAATGTGAGAGTTGTTCAGCAAAATCTCGAACCAGTTGCACTTGCATCTTGAGTGCTTTAAATTTGCCCTCAGCCTGCTTTTCTTTTTCTGGAAAAGATAAATAGAAAGTTAATAATGTATCATTGCGCCCTTTTTTTGTTGTTGGCTTTTTGTACCATCATAAAATAAGGAAATAGTTTCCAAATCCTGATCCAACATGACAAAGAAGTACTGTTCAGGCTCACTTGCGTGTGTCAATGCTTCCTCTAGCACAGAGATAGCCTCTAATTCATGATCTATAGTATCGAAAGAGAAAAAAAAAAAGAAAGGTTTTAGGGAATTTTTTATTTTTATTTTTTGTTGGTTTGATAAACAAGCTTGCTTAAGAAAAAAAATTACCTTGTATGGAAGGGCTGGTGAGGTTTCCAAGTTCTGTATCAGGTTTTCGAAAATTGAATCTCTTCATCAATCCCGCATGCGATCGGGATCGATTGTCAAGACTGACGGACTGACTTCGAGTAGGAACATAACGAGTTTCGTTTGTATTGAGCGTGCTAATACGTTGACTTTCTTGGATTTGATTCAGTCTGCGATACTATTATGTGTAAGTTTCTGTGTGTAATTTTTTTTTTTTTTTGGTCAGTTTTTGCACTTCTTGGGAGGTATTTACTTTCTCAATCGCCTTTAATCGTTTTTTAAGCCCTTTGTAATTGATGTAGGCTTTTCTCCATTCTGGAATACTCTCGGATTCAAGGTATTTGGCAAACTTCATCTATAAATGTAAATATATATGTATAAAAAAAGGACGAAAGAGAGAGAAAGGAAGAAAAAGAACTTGTATTGACAGATGTATTATGTCACATTAGCAACAAATATATCTGAATCCGAAAAAAAAAAAAAAAAAAAAAACTTATTTATATCACAACTAAAAAGTGATTGTCCCCCACCCCCCATTAACAACCACGTGTGCCGCGTGTAATTCTCGCACAGGCAGGGAAAAAAAAGAAAGTTTAAAAGTCCATCATGCAGTAAAAAGATGAAAATGCTTATTTCGGTAGATTATTTAAGCCTATGTGTCCATATATGCATTATATTTTATTACTAGTAGAAGGGTATTTTTGTACATTAAAGAGAGAGAAAAAGAAAAGGGTATACTAAGGATAAAGATTAAATCATAATGACAAATGAAGTGTGTCATCCAACAGAATGGGATGACTTGGTAAGATAGAATTAATATCAAAATTCAAATCCTGTAAGAATTGTGTCATTTCTTCTTGACTGACATATAAATCCCATTGTAAGAATCTTAAAAAGGCCAATTCCATACGAGTGATTTCTTTAATGGACCAGACATCACCTGTAGCCCTCACCACTTGTTTGGTGGAGAGACAGCGATCTTCGCTGTATTTACTAGCGACCAACAAGGAAGCGACAAAGATACGATGAGCGGCTTCTGGTTCTGCCTTGTATGTGGCAGGTAATGATTTTCTGAAACGTTGCACATACACAAGTGCCATCACCAGGTGAATGGGTTGGACATCACATTTATCTGTGATGAGCGAGATGAATGGTATCAGATCAGGTAAATGGCTAGGCCTCTTTTGTATTTCACCCTGTCTATTCGTAGCCGTCATCTGTTTCGCTGGCATCATTGTTGTTGAAAATAGAATAGCATCAAATGAAGAAGACGCAAAGTCTAATTGTTTTAGGGTTAGTATTATTTCAGGGCTAAGAAAAATTACAAGAGAAACACTTACCGATAAAACCTGGAGGAATACTTGAAGTAGGAACAGCCAACATATTTCAGACTGTAAAAGTGCTAAAAAGAAAAAGAGAAAAAAAGAAGAGAGGGAAAGGGGATTTGAGTCAAAAATTAGTCTCTTTTATAGACGAAAATGAGGGTTGGGGGGCGGATAAGTAAATAAAACCTTATTATGTGACTCTTATTGGTTACAATGGTGGGAAACAATAGGTCCAAAATTGTCCCCAGGTCAAAACGTAATTAATCAACAAATATACCGTCTATCTATTGTCACTATCTCTGTTCTTTCTGTGTGTGTGTGTTCGGGTGTGTGTGTGTGTGTGTGTGTGGTCATGTTATGAATCATTTTTTATGGTGACATTTATCACATATAAAATAAAAAGATAACGGATAAAGGATTATGAGTTAAAACAGCGATCATTCTTTAGCTTCTCCTCTCTCTCTCTTTCTCTATTTTGACATGTGAGTCATTTATTTTTTTATTTTAGTTTCTAAAGCGTTGAGTGGCAATATCTTTTAATATTTGAAAACGAGCTCTATTTAATTCCATTTCCAAACCAGGTACTTGCAAGCGTTCGACCAATTGCTTGATATGAGACTCAGTCAAGACACCAGGGATATCCTGTTGTAATGACAACAAATCGGGTTTGTTTGGCGATTGTTGAAATGCTTGTTCGATTGCGTTAGGGAATTTAATATCCTGTTCTGCAGCGAAACAAATATTGGTTAAAACACCGTCAATCGCCTCATTGGGTGTAAATTGAAGTTGGCCACCGTCCGAAAGGCTCTGTAAATGCTCTGCGCCTTTGTATGCCTTGTAGTGGCTGTACAGTCGAAACAGGTTATAGGCTAGAGGTATATTGGGAACAAGAGGCACAATGACAAACGTACACGTCACTGGTACCCAATATGCAGAATAATACATGTACTTTTTATGATACGGCACTCGCTTTTTTAACAAGTCCTTTAGTTCTGAATCCAATACCTCTCCCTTTAGCACTGAAGGGTGGTGAATTATGACCTACATTTTGTTGTTACTTTTTTTTTTCATTGACAACTCCCTTTTCCTTTTAATGTCTGTTTACCTTGTCAAGAGCTTGCTCCATTTCGCTTTTACCGGGTACACTCTTGAAGAACCATTCTTGATAGTCGAGTTGATTCATGACATTGGTTCCACGGTCGTGTAATTTCTTTTTCCAACTGTCTGCTTTTGCTTGACCAAGTGCATCCCATTTCTGACTGGACCAATCAACCGCCTTTGTCAGTCGAGAAATCGAAGGAATGGTGGAATGACAGTAATAGGCCCAACGGTTCTTGACTATAGGAATGGCATAAAGACGCATAATTAAGTTTATATTGCAATAGGAGTATTTTTTTTACACACAATGAAAAAAAAAAATATAATATATCTACAAAATGATGCTAATAAAAAAAGGCAAGCGTGTGACTTGCTCCTTTATTTCGTCCTTATGCAATGCAACGGGGACCCACTATTTTTAAATTTTTCCTTCTCTTTTTCTTTATTCATCGGCATGAGTACGCAATTAGAGAATGTACAAGCCATCTCACTCACGAGTAACGAGATGGAGATAGCAGGAGAAGGAACGGAGTCTATTACTGTGACTATCAAAGACGAAGAGGAAGAAGAAGGAGGAGGAGGCTATAAAAGGATGGATTTGAAAGGGGAGTCTGAATCGGACAAGGACCTGATTATTTATTCCTTAAACGAATCATTGCAGATTCATAAAGAGATTGTGGAACGCACGCAAAATGAAAAGGATGACATTGAGGATCAATTTGAACAAGAGAGGATGAACCGAGAGAATGAGCGTATGCAAATCGTACCCAGACGAGATAGTGAACTGGGACAATTACAGGCGATCTATGATGCTGTCGCTGCTGAATTAGAAGCCAAGAAATTGGACTATCAGCGCATGGAATCTCGCTTTCATTCGCATGTAAAGAAGAAATCTAGCGAAACACAGGATATCCAAACGATTCATACTCAGTTGATCCGAATGCTCAGTCAAATTAACAATTTATGCGTGTCCACTATTAAAAAACAAAACACCGAATATATCTTGAATCTCTTTAGGGACAATACCATGATTCAACAGCACTTTGTGCAAGAGAAGGATACCCATTTTCTGGTGGAGAAATACATGATGGATATCATTTTAAAGGACATCTTTAGTACATCCATTCATCCCGGTGTGTCCTTGAACAATTCATTTGGCGCTATTCATGACTGGATCGAAAAACGCAATGTATCCTGGGCGGCCCGGCTAAAACAACAAATTTCGCAGTTTGTCAAACAATCGGACGAGCAATCGGTGGAGATTGAACAAGCGAAAGGGCAGATTACATCGCATGTTTTAGATTTCCTTAGCCGTTTCTATGACAACATTCACTTGTTGGAAGAGACGGTGCTATGCATTGTCAATGAAGCCTTCGAATTAAACTTGCTGCTAAAGTCACAGGGAGAGGACACGGTCCAGATGATGTCGATCAGTCAAGGCACACAATATAACAGCGATATCATGACCGCCGTAAATGAGGGCGATCATGTGCTATTTGTGATCTCGCCACCTTTTGCGGCTAATGGAGTTGACGGTTTTATTATACCAGCCAAAGTTTATTGCGTTTAATTCTTTTCCTTTTTTTTTTATTTTCCATTCAATAAAAATTATATATATTATTTGTAATGAACAAGGAAGCCGTAGCGAAATATGCTTTAAAGACGTTTGCAGGCGGTCAACAAAAGTCAGCCAATAGCCGTCATGAACAAGAACTCCTGGAATTACAGCAACAGCAAGCGAAAAAGAAATGGTGGCAAAAAGCTCAGGCACCTCAGTCCATCCTTTCATTAGAGGAACAAAAGATTTTGAAACGAGTCAAAGGAAGAGCGCATTTTCTGGACCGAGGACTTTCGTGCTGTTGCTTTCAGATAGGCTTTGACGGCATTGTGGGTAAGTAGAACATCTCGAGATGGCTCATGGGTTTTTTCATAACTCTCTTTTTTTTTTTTGTTGTAGGCTTTATTCCGGTAATTGGGGATTTTATTGGACTATTGATGGCACTGCAATTAGTGCATATTGCGATGGAAGCTCAGCTGCCTCCCGAGCTTATATCGAAGATGATGTTTAATATTGGATTTGACTTTATGGTATAATTCAAAAGTATAGTCAATTTTAAAAGAAAAAGAAAAAAAGAGGGCTAACGGAGGTGGTATATAGATTGGGCTAGTGCCTATTGTGGGTGATATCATTGACATCATGTATAAATGTAATACAAAAAATGCTGTCCTGTTAGAGACATACTTGATCAGACGAAGACGGAATATGTTGCGTGATAATCCGCAAATGGGTAACCCTTCCATTGGCTCTAGTTCTGCACCAACCATTTTGAATAAGAGTGGTCATAAATAAATGTTTAAAGTTTACCCTTCCCACATAAAAAAAAAATTTTTTTTTTACCCATAATAATAAATATAAATCGAAAATGACGCACGCGGTACCACAATGATGAAAAGAGGAACAAGTAGCCTAAAAGAGCAGATCAGTTTACATACCACGGCCTTGGGTTTATCAACACAAGTCACACACTGATAGTTGTAACCATCCCCCTCTTTACAAGAGAAGAAAAAAGGCCCAATTATCCGCAGACCCCACCCATCTTCCGGGTATTCAGTGTAACATATACACATAGATCCACGCACGCAACGTGCTTTTTGAATTGCCATTTTGCCTCCCCCCTCTCCCTGACTTCAATACACTAATAGCAGAGACGAAAAAAGAAAAGACGGCGCGTGGGGGCCGTCTTTCAGGCACAGACATGCTCTCTCTCACTCTCTCTCACTCTCACTCTCTCTCTTTCTCTTTTTGATTCCCTTTTCGATCTACGTCACGGATTGATAGGATGATAAGAACAGATGTGGCGCGCAAGGAGGATTGAATGGCAATGGGAAAGCATGCAAGAAATGATAGTTTTGTGTAATCTGACCTGTTGTGGTGCAATACGTTTGGGGCGTTTAGGGCATGTTACATGGGAAGGGGGTTATGTTTTTTTGAGGCGGATATCATATCTGAGATTGTACACACACACCTTGAGCCCCAAAACATTAAATGAATTGTATAACCATGAACAAGGGAAAAAAATCATTCGTTTTCTACTCTTTTTTTTTCTGTTGACGACGGCAAAAACGTTGTGGAGAGAAAGTTAAACGGATAAAACTTATTTTAAACAACGGGTAATTATTGTCTTAAGAATACACAAAAAAAAAATGCAAATTCTGTAGTTATGGAAAATCCTAGAAATATTTATTCATCTATGACAAATTCGGTAGGAGTTTTAATCCCAGCGTAACGGGAAAACCGATTTCCTCTCTTTGACGGGCCAACAGTATAAATTGAGCTATTTAAAAAACAATAACACAAAGTCTTTCTCTTTCTTTACTTTACAACCAAAATAAAAAAAACTCTATAATATGACAGATAATAGCTACTGGCAATTCCAACAAACAATGGTAGATGCTCCCTTGATGTTACCACCACAACCTCAGGTCCCCTTACCACCGCAACAACAGCAACAGCAACAACAACAGCAGTCATGGTCCGAAGAAAACGAAAAGAGAAAATGGGCTCAACAAGGTTTTGGCGATTTCGACATGAGTAACCATACCAACAAGATATTCCGTAAGTATAGTTTGGGAGAGAGTTAGTTTTTAAAAAATAATAAACTCACCATGGGGACATGTAGACATGGACGATTACAGTAATCAAGATCCCAGTGAAGGCGATAGTCCAGGTAAGATTTAGAATTTATTGCGCCTCATATTTGGGTGCGCCTCATTTTCTCCATGGTTACATTTTATATCTAAAACCTTATTTTTTCAAACACAGACAGTGCAGGAGGAGCACCACAAAGACGAAACGATTTGGTGTCCGAATCATCGCTGTTTCAGGTATTTGTCCCACACAATTAAAAAAGATAAGAAGGGGTTTTTTGGAAACTAACTCGTGTATATATATAATAGGGTGGAGATCAAAAGCAAAGACGTAAGGAACAGAACCGGGCTGCACAAAGAGCTTTTCGAGAGCGTAAAGAAAGATATGTAAAAGAACTTCAGTTAAAGATCCGGGAAATGGAAAAGAAGCATGAAGCGGAAGTGACACGTGTCAAGAAAGAGAACGAGTCATTGAAGGAACTGGTAAAGAAGATGGAAGCAGAGATTTATACATTAAAAGGAGCTGCTATTGCTTTTGATGTGTCGATTCATAAGTTACGTGAAGCTGGTCTTGACGTGCAACAACTACATCCTCGTGATTCACCTTCACCGCCTCATTCTGATAGACAATCGCCTACCCGAAGCAACTCCAACGAGAGACGTCATGAGTTTGAGCGCTTTAAGACCTACAGAAACGATCATTTGATGTCGACGGATGAAGATAATGATGAAGAAGGAGAAGAAGCGAGTTTTGCTGAACGTGAAATATCCAGGTTTGATCATAAAGTGGATCCCATCATTAATTCCGGTATCAAGCTCATCCCCTGTTCTCAAATATGGGAACGATTGTCACAGCATCCCAACTTTGATGAATTTGATATGGACAGATTATGTGAAGAGCTGAAAAAGAAGGCGAAATGTTCTGGTACGGGTCCAGTTATTCCAGAGTCTGAATTACAAGAAGTCTTGAGAAGAATGGACTTTGGCACCGCATGATTTTTTTTTCTTTCTCTCTTTCTGTTACACGCATAAATCAGCCATACTTTCTTATGATTTTCTTACGCACACGCACACATATATACGCATCTTTTTTTCTTTTCTTTTACATACTACTACGCCCTCATTTCTTTTTTTATATATACATAAATTATATGCCCTTTTTCATCTTTTTTAGTGCTCTCCCGCATTTTATTTATCACGTAGTATATGCATTGCTGCATTGTACATGTACGAATACCTTTTATAAATACACGACAAAAAAGTCAAATGACCTTGAACAAGTCCTTTATTTTTTGGGCTTATTGTCTATTTATTCTCTCTCTCTTTTCTCTTTTTTTCTTTTTTTCTTTTTTTTCTCACATATTCCAAACTTACAAAGCTCAATTCTTATACATGATGTTAAATGGACACGGTCACACAAAGAATTTTCACAGGCAATCATCGGTTCGAACATGTCCTCCCACAGAACATCGACAACGAAACAGCTTTCCACCAACACCACCACCACCAACCAGATTATCACGTGCGGATACATTGAAGCCTATTATCCAAGAACAACGACAGGAAGTGATTCATATCAAGAAAAAAAACAACCACAATAGCAAACGTTTAATCAATACAAAGGACGAGGATATTCCATTGGCGCTTTTAGCATATAAGAAGGGATACACCACCATCTATCCATCTACACCACAGGTGCCAGCCATGCGACAGGATGAACGTTTGCTTTCGTATGTCAGTGCGAGCAGTAGTAATTCCTCATCTTCCAGGACAAAACCCATTATTAGACATGATACCACTGTAAAGAAAAAGACAGAGAACAAACAACTGTCAAGTCAGCCAAAGAAATCTCTTCGGCGTCGTCGTACACAACCTCCACAACAACAACAAGAAGAAGTGGTTGTGGTGGTGATGGTGAAGGAGACAAAGCCCAAGAAATGGTTTAATTCTTTACGTAAATTACTAGATTAGTTTCACATCATAATAATAAATAAAACTTTCGTATGCCCTTCTATAAATCTCCCCCTTGCATGCAATAACATTATTCCGTTATCGGATTTGAGTTTACATTTGGAAAAGCAAAAAAAAAAAAAAAATATGTATGTAGATGCTCAATAGCCAAAAAGAAAAAAAAAAATTACAGATCTTTAATGTCTTCCAAATCTTCTATATCTTGTACTTCTCGCTGTGCCTTGACATGATCTCGTTGTCTCTGTTCTGGCAACATGTAAAATTCTTGACATTTTTCAAATACACGCCCTGTGCCCTAAAAATAGCTTTTTAGTTTTCTCAAAATAGATTTTTTTTTTTTTCTGTTGTTTAGTACTTTGGGGGGAATAGGAACGGGGAGAAACAGTGTATACCAAGGGCTTAAAAAAATTAAAATTTAATTGACGAGCATTGACAAAGCAAAAAAAAAAAAAAAAAAAAAAAAAAAAAAAATGTATATAGACTTACTATGTATCTCCAACGTTAAAGAAACGTTTAAAGTTTTGACATGCACCGAAATCATACATATTCACAAAGATCTCTCCTTGGCTTTTACAAACGCCCTTGTCGTAATAATTGTTGTAGAATTCAACCGTTGTTTGCGCTGTAAAGATCTACACCCGGAGTTTGTCAATTATCTGCATTTTAACTATCCATCGATCTCTCTCTCTTTCTCTCCTTACCAAGTAATAATGCCAAACGCATAACCCTCCTATCGCTAAGCCCATGCAAATAGCTAAAATAAAAGAAAACGCTAACAATGGCCGAGGGAAATAGTATGGCCACTTCGCTTAAAGTTAGTTTTCAATATAAAAAAAAATATCAAGTTAAGCTTACATCCAATTGTGTGAAATCGAGGCAGAGCATAAATGGTCTCCATGCAGATACCACAAAATAAGCGGCGGCAAGAATCAAATATGTCATAAACAAGACAAAATAGCGATGGTTGAAATGACCTACACAGTTATGAATCCAAGGGCCTGTGTAAAAATAGAAAAAAAGAGTGCTTATTTTTAGTTATTAGCGTCAAGGAGGGGGAGACATGGGGTTGCTTACAGTGATGGTCAAATCTCAATACACAAGTGTTGCAGACACTGCAGTGATGGGCTCTTTCGGGTTTCGGTAAAAGGCCTAAATTGAAATAATACATAAATACACTTGTACAGATCGCTCTACCTTTTTGATTGCTTACACTTTTTGCAAGAGTTAGGAAACTGTGAATGTTCTTCCATTTCAAGTAACATGGTTCGCATGGAAGTTTCCTAATTGAAAAAAAAGGCAAAAGCACACACACAAACACACACATACACATACACTTGTGAGCAAAAAGAAAAACGTAAAAAAAAAAGAACCTTAAAAAAACAAATTACATTGGTAGAGGAGGATGGGTCGTCTGCTTTTCTGTATTCTTCCATATCTCCGGGCGATGTGACGATGGCCATGTAATAATGAAAATGAATACAATAGACGATGTAGAGTGTGAAGGCCAAGGTCAATATGGAAAAGACTTTACTGAAAAACGAGCTGTCTGTCCAACTATGGAGGTAGGGAAATACCACTAGATAATATGCCAGCACACACATATTCAACAGTAAGACGGCAATCCCAATAAATATAGGGCCAATGCTCCATATTGCCTTATCCACAATCTTTGCCATATTTTGTTTTTGTTTTTAATCAAATAAAAAGAGAGAGATTTTTTTTAGGGCTGTGCCACAGCGCATTTTTTTTTTTTTTTGCAGATTCGGACTTTTTTAAATTTAATGGTTACACCCCAAATCCCATAGATTTAATAGTGATATGCCTTGTTTGCATAAGAACGTAGATGCACAACTCAAGTCGAAAGAGTAGAGGATGAGAGACATTATTGAATCTTACAAAGACGTTCAGCTTACACTTTAATAGCAAAAAAATAAGAAAAAAACACATTTCCTCTTATTGCCTTACACTTTATTCAGAAATTATTCGTTCACTGTTGCGAAAAAATCGTTCAAAAATGAAATAAAAATCGTTTAAAAATAAAATATAATATCATTCAAGGATGGAAATAAAAATGGGTATAAAAAAGTTAGAGCTCTCTTTAGAAAGTTAAACAATGCAATGTACTTACATGGAAAGGGTTGAGAGGTAGAGAAATATATTAACAGAAATAAAATATAAAAGAACAAATACAGTTAGTTATCTAGCAAGCAATAATAAAAAGCCTTACCAAAAAGTGTATTACGGGTAACACCAGCGATAACTGGCATGGATAGTTATTCACCCATTCGAGGACGTCTTTTTGAGTGGACATGACGTGCAAATCGTTCTGGGATTTGACCAGTGTTTCTTAAATTTAGAATTATTGAAATCATGTTCAAACAGGCGGCTAAATCTCTGTTCCAAAGCTTATACTGGAATCCTTGGGTTTCCATCTTGGCCATACAAGTCTGATTGGTGCATCTAGGATGAGAACAAACGGGGTAATGTGTGATTCATGATTAACTTTTATATTTATTATCCATCCTTAAGGTGATGTGACAATTAACTTTATTATTATATCTATGATATCCTCAACAGTCAGTAGCTTCTTGCTTTTTTTTAGCTTTTATTTTCACTTACTAAGTTTTAATTATTTTTTTGATAACATGTGGTATTTTGTGCTTATTGTTATCATAAATTTTTTTCAAACTTTTAAAAGAATCACATGTTGCGAGGGGTTTATATATACCTTGTGACTAACTACTGATAAATGATTGAAACTTCCTTAGACCAAAAGACCAAATAAACTTGTATCAAAAAGCTTGATAATTAAGTGTTGTGTTTTTCAGAGTTAAAAGAACTGTTTTTATTAGTTATTGAAATTTGGATATTTATATATGTAAACTAGTGGTGACACCTAGTATCAGGAACACTCTGTGACCGCTTATTTACAATTTTGTATCCCTCTCGTCCTCACAACTGCCTTTCCACACTACCCTCTTTTTGCTTAGTTTCGCTTGACGACACAGAGTAAAACCGTAATGGCACATTCAACCTGGGACGAGCCTTGTACATCTTGATTTGATTAGCATGGTATATCGTAGGAAATACCAAGGCTTCATCTCGAATTCGGTATACATTATTACCCACCACTTCTTGAATATGGTAAGGCCCCACCCACCTACTCAATAGCAACGCTTCCTTGTTTACCACATCTCGACTCTCAACCATTATTTGATCATTAACTTTGAACTTCTTTAGCTTGGTCTTCCTGTTATATTGTTCTTAAGTTTTGACCCTATCCACCTCCATTCGTCGTATAGCTTGACAAATCACTTCTTGATTGAGGCGGATAATATCGTCGACTCGCTGACGCACCATCTCCTCATCACCGAGATTCGTATCCAATTCGACTTCTAATTCCTCAGCATGGGACCTCGGATGTCTACCGTAAACCAGATAAAATGGAGAATAGTCATAATCCCTTTTCAACGACGTCCTCATGACATAGAGCACTGCGGGCAACCAGGTATCCCAATCTTGATTATATCCTAGGACATATTTCCTCAAGATTTCCTTCAATACTCCATTCGTCCTTTCCACCTTGCCCTGCCCTTGGGGATAAAAGGGTACTCCAAATCGCAGTTGAATACCATAGGAACTGATCATCAAAGACTTGACCTCATCAGCATTAAAGGGTTTACCATTATCGCATATAATCTTCCGACACGTACCGTACCTCGAGAACCATTTGAACAGACAGTAACATGTGAAGTTAGAACTTTGGGACGTACAAGGGTAGACTTCAATCCATCCCGACACTTGCTCAATTATCACCAGCGCGCCAGTATGCCCCAGTTGTGTGAGTGGGAGATGAATGTAATCCATGCAGATCACACTGAATAATCCATCTTGTATGACCTTGGGATGCTCGAGCGGAACTACTGGATTGCGTGGCCCAAAATTTTGGCATATCTTACATGACAACACGTATTGTCTAACCGAGTCATAATAACCGGACCAATAGTACTGATACTTGATCTTATCAAAGGTTCTTGCCACCCCCTGGTGTCCAGCCATTACGTGATCATGATTATCCTTCAGCACTTGGAGCACCTCAGTCATTTTCACTACCACCCTTCTGCCAAAATCCTTATTTGCTTTACGATATAGCACTCCTCCTTGGACTTCGTATTGTCTTGCTTGATATCTAATACCTTTCCGTTGCTTTTCAGAAGCGTTGGTGGGATACATCCAGGTAGTTAAATATTGTACTAGCGTAGCATATAGATCCCACGACATTCCTCCTAATCCCGTTGGTAGAATATCTTGGACTTGTTTCCTTTTCGCGGTAGTGCCTGACTCATCATTTGGATTTCGAACTACATTCAAGGGCAGATAATAATTCGGGATAATAGAGTCTAATGATACCTCTTCCTCGCCTTGATCTCCTAGTCTTGATAGAGCATCCGCGTTCGAATTCGATTTCCCAGCCCGGTACACGATGTCGAAATCATATCCCAATAAGGATCCTTGCCATCTTACCACCTTTGCAGAGGCCTCTTCGTTAAAGCGGATGAGATATTGGAGACTCTTCTGATCAGTATACACAGTAAACTTATGCCCCATCAAGTATATTTTAAAAAAATGAATAAAATAAACAATAGCGAAAAATTCCTTTTCGTACGTAGAGATCCTTTGTTCTTGTGTAGATAAAGCTTTACTTCCAAAATAGACCGGCCTTAGTAAATCCTTTTCACCAGGAACCTCTTGTGACAGTACACCCCCTATTCCAACGTTAGAGGCATCAGTATATAATACAAAGGGCCTTGTAAAGTCGGGATGTGCTAGAACAGCATCACTCATCAACCAAGTCTTGCATTGCTCGAAACTTTTGTCTTGATCAGCACCCCAATTAAAGGTCACCCCCTTCTTTTTCAACTGATTAAGTGGAGCCAAAACAGCAGACATGTTGGGAATATACCTTCGATAGTACTGCACCATTCCTACGAATCGATTCACTTCTGTGAGGTTCTTGGGAGTAGGTCATTTTGTAATTCTATCTACTTTAGCCATATCCATCCGACAACCGTTCCTTCCTACAACATGGCCCAGAAGCTTAGTCTCAGTGTACCCGAATCGACACTTTGTAGCCGATAACGACAGACACGCCTTTCCCGCCTTTGTCAGAACCCTGTCCAAATGGCTTAGATGGTCTTCATAACTCTCGGAGAAAACCAAACCATCATCAATATAAATGAGTAAAAATTTGTTTATTTCAGAAAAGAAAATTGAATCCATGGTTGATTGCCAACCAGAAGGAGAACCCTTCAAACCCATAGGTAGCCTCGTCCACCTGAATTGTCCAAAGGTAGTTGCGAAACCAGTAACATCCTTAGACTCTTCAGCCAATTTAAGTTGCCAGAACCCGTTCAGACAATCAAACACCGAGAAGTATTTAGCTTTGGCCAGCAAGGTGAACAAAAAGTTAATGTTGGGTATAGGGTACCCGGTGTCGACCATAAGCTTGTTGACTCCCTTGTAGTTGATGGTCAACCGGTATGGATCTTTCTGTCCAGCCTTCACCTCTGGCACAGATACCGTTACCTCACCGAATGATTGTTCCATGTCTTCGTAAGTACTCAAAGACGTATCAACCTCACGATCCATTACCTCCCCATCCACCAGATTAACTTCATAGGTCTTGTATTCCCTCTTGCTGTTCAACTTTATCCTTGGAGCTTGTTGAAGCTTGGTAATCTTGCGCCTTCTTGGAGCCCTCTTCTCGATATCAGATGGCACCAACACCACTCCGGCAGCCCACGGCCCGTTACACCTCTCAATCAATCCAAGATCAAGCAACTGCTCGATGTACCCTTTAAACCACTTGTTGGCTTCATATGGAACCATCCTTGGCGTTACCCGAACTGGTTGGGCATTTTCCTTCAGTTTGATGACAAAAGGTTCAGCTTTCAATTCGGCTACATCTTTTAAGGAAGTTGCAAACACCCCCTTGTGTCTATTCAACACTTCCACCATTGCTTTGCGTTGACTATCAGTTAACTCCGGGTTGATATCAAAAGTAACCTCCTTTTCTTCACTGACTGTATACACTTAACACACCTGTCGATCTTGCCTTCCCTTAGAGTACCCTCTGGACCGTGAAGTCTTCACCCCTACTTCTTCCAAGGCTTCATAGGATGGCTTGAATACGGGACCTACAATCAACGACGGAGCAAGTACATTACCCTCGTCCTGGTTGATATAACCATCTTGAATGATTGATAGTACTTCGTTAACATCCCCCAGACAGTCAACTTCCTTTGGTACAGATGACGCGCCGTAGAGTTTGCCAATCATAGTGCCCTTTCGCAAAGTGATCCTTTTCTTTCCTTGATTCATTATCACCGCACAGTAAGGACCTTGACCTCCCTTTGGCATTACACTTGGAACCATATACAATCCCAGCTTTCCCAACAGCATCTCCTCCGGCTGTAGCACCATATCTTCTGCCCAGGTCTTGCTCTCCTCCCCCATAGCCAACCACAAAAGATGAGAATCTCCAGGCTCCATAGTATATTCATACTGGATCTTCACATTCTTCAGCCTCTTGTTTTCGCTATTTGTCACTGATACAGGAATCACCAAACGTTCATCCTCAAGTACTTCACCGCCTTTTGGGAACAGGACCTCTGGAGACATGCCATTACCTTCATGAGTAGGAATTACAAACCACTTGTCTTGTCCTTGGATACTGTAAGTATTACTATTGGAATCGGCTACCCCCTTGGTCCCTTGAATGAAGTCCATGCCTAAAATCAATGGTGTTTTCAGATTCTTGGTAATACAGAAGGAATGCTTCACCTCCATTTCCTCAGTAAGGGTCTGTCAAATTTGCAAGCGCGAGCAGTGTCCAGGAAATATGAACCGAACAAAATGTACAAATATTTAAGTCAATCCAGGCTATGGATCAAAATATTATATCACACATGCAAGTAACCTATCGACTTATGCTTTCAAATTCATGCCTTTAATTTATGCTTCTTACAATACCTTATGCTTTAAACCCTATGCCTTCAACCTTTTTGTTAACAGTTGAATAAATATCATTCATGCAATTATTATTAAATAGAATGTGTGCAATGTAGATTGTTCTTTCCCAGCAATAGATTAAAAAATAAATATTTTGGTTTATTGATTCTTGTAGCATTCTTTTTCTTTTTTTTTTAGTTGTAGCATTCTCGTTTTTTTTTTTTTTGGCTACCGCCAAAAAAAAAAAATCTTTCCTCCCTCCCCCCCCCCAGGTATGTCACACAAGCCACTTTTGTGATCCAATTTAAGTCTTCCTTTGCCAGTGGGGAGGTATCCAAGCTTGTATCGATAATGTTATAGTATAATAACTGTTGTTTGTATATCAAAGGTTCATATATTTGCTTCGCTTTCCAATCTTTGATTATATTATTCAGCCTGGAGTCTTTTTCAGCAATGTCTACATTTATTCAATTCAGTTATTCACAGTTACGGGAGACGAGAGCCCTGACTTCTTACCTTCTTCCACGAAAATAACGTTTTCTTGTAATTTGTCTTCGTCTTCTAGACCTTCATTATTCTGCAAGTCATACAAATCCTCGTTTTCTTGGTTTGGGATAGTTGTCTTTAAAAGTTTATTCACGAATTCTGTATTTTCGCCACCCGGAGTGTTAAGGATGTCATTGGCTCTCTTTCCATAGTCATTGATGTAATTGTTAATGTTGCCGATATTGCTGCTATCGTTCATATTATATATACTGTAACTAATTGCATTTTCCATGGTTGAGCTTGTACTTTCTGCGGGGGGAAGTTTCTTCAGAAG